TATATATATATATATATATATATATATATATATATATATATATATATATATATATATATATTTATTTATTTATTTATTTATTTATTTATTTATTTATTTTGAAAGATTTAAAGTATTTTGGAGCAGTTAATATGTCAGGCTGTATAATTCAAAGGAATCATTGACTTGCTGTCTTCATTAGTTTCAAAAACACAGATTTCTTTACGATTAAAAACAGCATCTTTGGGAAAAAAAAATTCTGCTGTAGATACTGTTTTCCTAAAAAAAATAAAAAATAAATAAATAAAAATTTCGTAAATAAACGAATCTTACACATACCCCAGAAATGGTATAGAAAATTTTGGTGGTTTTAAAAACTTGACTTTTCCATTATACCTTGAAACGGTTATCGTCCCATGCCTAGTGAGTACCTGGATTATTTGGGGTTACAATTGGCAATTGTGAATTTACAGTTTGCATTTGGCCTTCTGACTTGCAACCGAGTTGGATTGAGAGGTAATTTAGACATACCTGAACTCGCAATCGTGAGAAGGAAATGAAGGATTGTGAGATTTGCGGTTTCATTTTGAAGTTATCTTTCTGTTCAACGTTGGATGTTAGTATTTCAGCACTTCATATAACCCTGTGTTAAATGTGGTGTGAACCATGTTTTAAAGTGCAGTGTAAAACCTCGCCTTAGCCCAAAGATATACATGTCCTTAACATGAGGTTTTTAGACAAGTAATTCTTACATCAAAAGTGATCATTTGGGTTAAAGTTTTGCGCATCATGGTTAAAGTGGTGCAGTTTATGCTTTATAGTTTGTTTATATAGAGGAATAACATGAATACTAAGTGCTACTTGTTGTAATTGGGGCTTAATCATTGTGCAGTTTCTCCTAATTACACTCTCTCACTGTTGTGATTTATAGTACGAGAACATAAGTTGGGCACTGTAATATAAACTTCTTGAATTATCTTCTGTAATGCGTCATGCCGTCCAATTTACCCAGCAATGTGCCATTTTTATATGCGCCGTTTCAGTGAGTTGTGTCATCTTGAATATTTTTGAAGCTGTGCTTCATGTGCCATGGAGACCAGCAGGGCTCCCCGGGTGTGTGTTTTTACACCAGATTGCGAAACACTTTTATTGCTTTAGAAAGCCATTGACATGTCTGACACATTCCCAGGTACAGTATTGAGCTGTAATCCTTTCGGTTTTTATTCACCAACTCCACTGCACTCATTTCAAAACGCCTCCACCATGGGAATTTCACCCGGCTCTCAGATATTATAGCAGCCCAATCTGGATTTGTTTGTACACGTCTCGCGTGCTGGAAATATAACACTCCCTCAACAGAGAGGACGGCCATATGACCTCGCATGATTAGAAAGATGACCCGGTGTAAATAAACCATAATTGAAATCTTTTTTAAGCCTGAAACGTTAATATGCTGGCTAGGGCTGAGTTATCTATCTGTTGTTCTATCAGTCGATTTGTCGTTCTATCATACTTTATCTATTGAATGTTCCATCTATTCTGTTGTTCTATCTGTCATACTATTTATTGTACTATATCCATCTATCTATCTGTCTATTTATCTATCTGTCCGTCCGTCCGTCTGTCCTACTTTCGTTCTATCGTACTTTTTATCGTTCTAACATACTTTTTATCGTTCTAACGTACTTTCTATTGTTCTAACGTACTTTCTCTCTATCGTACCTATCTATCGTACCTACTTACTATCGTACCTACTATCTATCGTACTTACTATCTATCGTTCTGTCG